CGTCGTGCTTGTGGCCGTCCGGGACCACGGGCCGCGTAGCTGTTTGGCCAGCTCCTTGCCCCGCTGATGAAAGGCGTGCGCGTGCACCGCTCCGTCCTCTCCTGCCATTGAAGTTCTAAGGGAAAAGGTTTAATCAATAAATCTATTCTCCATTAAAACCCTGTGCTGGAGGTAAAATTCTCTAGCGCAGCACTGATTCAGCCGGCCTGTACATGGGGCATGCCTTACGGAGAGGGACCCGCCGTGCGTTTAGTATGTGAAATGGCTCTTTCCTTAGGCTGGATCCCCTCGCTGCTGGCCTGGGCCCCCCACGCTTCCCACCATGCGCTAGAGCCAGCCTGTCATCCATAGCTGGTCCCTGGCCACCTCCTTTTTTTGAGAAGTATTGTTCCTCAGCAGCTTTCTCTAAGAGAGTAAAAAGCAGAAGCGCTGATGAGGCTGTGACCTTCTGGGTCAAGTGCGGGTACTTGAGATTGTGTTCTCCATGCGACTTGGTAGTCTGTTTCTCCTTTCAAAGATCCCCACCTCCTGACTGGGGCAGGAAGTGGGGCAGGGGGTTGTATTATGGACATAACTATTCAGGATCGTGGATTCCTGGAATAAAGTAATTTTCATGGAGCAAAATTAGAAGAGACATTAATGCAACAGCTAACTGCAACTAACTGCTGGGGGGAGATGTGTCCGCTTGCTTGTTCTGTTTATGGCCTTCATACAATTCCATCAGTATTGATGTGTGATGCCTTTGGTTTTGACACTAATCATTGCTATGAATTAAATTTGCAGCCATATAATTAGGACTGCTATTAATAGGGCCTCAAGCTAAGTACTGCTGTGCTAGTTGTCTTTTTCCTGATGGAAAACGGCATCCGTGGAACTGGGCTCATGTGGTTTGCTTTGTAGATGCTGAGGGTGATGTGAAAATTCCCCTCTCGATATTTAGAGGGGCTCTTCTAAAAGGCGTATGTGTGGGAAGGGTCCGACTCGGAGGTTTCCTGTGAGGGAGAACCACACCGATGTTGCACTTAAACTTCATAGTAGTTTGCTGCTTGTCTCTTAGGACACATAGTTGTAGCATGAGAGAGAGATGCAGGAAGAAAAGAATAAGCCTCAGTTTTCAGGTCCGAAGGGATGCTATTGCCAGTCTTATTTCCGTGTTAGCTGCCCTTCCTCATGCAAATCTTTCCATTTATTTCTCCTACCCTATGCTATTTCAACTCTTTCTCTATCCCTATGCAGTCCTGGTTTCATCTCCCTTAGCTGAGTAGAGTGGCTAGGATAGCAGTATGGCTCACCACCAAAAATCAATCTTGTATTTCATCCCAAGAGGTGTGTACCTTATTAGATCTAATAAATCAGTGAAGTGCCCTTCATTCAGCTTGTCAATGGAGGACATTGTTTGTGATCAAGAATAAATAAATGTCTCTTCTGTGTCTGACAGTGCACAGTCTATGTATTATTTTACCATCATGCTGTTTATGCCTCCTCTAAGAAAAATGAAGTTTCTGTAGTGGCCTGCAGCCGTGCCATCACCTACCTGTGATCGCAGGAGCTAAGGATGTTTATGGATATACGCATGGGATGTCTCCGAAGGAAAAGCAAGAACAGTGACTTTGTAGCTGGTGGTTTTTGCTCAGCGCTGAGTTG